GTGAGCTGCCCCTTGTGACAAAGCTGCTGTTGCAGGCAGCTCATTCCCAGCTTCTATTCCAGACCGACTGTGCAGACTGACTTTTCATTGTTTGTTTTGGCCAATAATTGTGATTTACTTGGGCTGCTCACTGTCACTACTGGTAAAGGTAGTGAGGAAGGATTTGGAGTTGCTAATTTGGTGGCAACAGCCAATAGAGGCTACTGTTCTTAAAACATTGACCAGATCAGACCTTTGCAGAACAGATCTAGCCTGCAGGCCATAGGTTGTCAACCCCTGGCCTAGGGAGAATAGCATCTGCTAGGCACACTGTAAAACTGGGCAAGCCTGAAAATGTGAGTCAGACAAAAAATAGGACTAGAAATACAGGTGGAGTAGGTTAATAGAGGAGCACTAGCAGATGTGCAACTGTCTGTGAATTGGAGGTTGAAGATTTATTAATTTGTGACTTGGAGCTGACATTTTTTTGATTACCACTACCTTAGAAGAACTGAAAGTCCTTCTGCAAATGTTAGTCATAGCAGGATGGAAACATGGCCTCGTGGTTAATACTCTAAAGACCAAAATTATATCTACAGTTGGAGAAAGCGTCAGAGTTGACATAGATAATAACGCCTTGAAGCAGTTTGAAATTTGCAGTTCACAAATTGGCTGGAGGGCTGCACCCAGAGCGTGGTGGTGGATGGGTCATTTTCAACCTGGAGGGATGTGGGCAGTGGGGTTCCCCAGGGCTTGGTCCTCGGGCCTGCACTGTTCAATATCTTTATTGGTGACTTGGACGAGGGGGTGAAAAGCACCTTGTTCAAGGTCGCAGATGACACTAAGATGTGGGGAGAAGTGAGCATGCTAGAAGAGAGGGGCAGGCTACAACTAGATCTGGACGGGTTACAGAGGTGCGCAGATGAGAATAGGATGGGTTTCAATACTGACAAGTACAAGGTGTTGTACCTGGGGAGGAAGAACCAGCAGCATACCTACAGGCTAGGGAGCTCCCTTCTTGTCAGCACAGAGGCAGAAAAGGATCTTGGAGTCACTATTGGTTCCAAGATTAACATGGGCCGCCAATGTGGGGACGCAGTCAGGAAGGCTAGCCACACCCTGTCATGCATCCATAGATGCATCACGAGCAGGTCCAAGGAGGTGATCCTCCCCCTCTATACGACACTGGTCAGACCACAGTTGGAATACTGTGTCCAGTTCTGGGCGCCGCACTTCAGGAGGGATGTGGACAGCATTGAGAGGGTCCAGAGGAGGGCTACTCGCATGATCAGGGGGCAGCAGGGCAGGCCCTATGAGGAATGGCTATGGGACCTGAACCTGTTCAGTCTCCACAAGAGAAGGCTGAGAGGGGATCTGGTGGCCACCTATAAACTTGCCAAGGAGGACCAGTAGGCAATGGGAGAGTCCCTGTTCCCCCGAGCACTACCAGGAGTAACGAGGAACAACGGTCACAAGTTGACCGAAAGTAGGTTCAGGCTAGACATCAGGAGGCACTACTTCACGGTCAGGGCAGCTAGGAGCTGGAACCAAGTTCCAAGGGAAGTGGTGCTTACCCCTACCCTGGGGCTCTTCAGAAGTAGGCTAGACAGCCACCTAGCCAGGGTCATTTGACCCCAGCATCCTTTCCTGTCCATGGCAGGGCGTCGGACTTGATGATCTGCTTAGGTCCCTTCCGACCCTACCAACTATGAAACTATGACATTTTACATATTTAAGTGAAGTTTTAACAGGAGGCAGTAAATGCATAAATAAAGCAAAACAGTATATCTAGACAAAGACTGACATTGGTAAGGAATCTGAATGAGATGCATACAAATTGGCATATTACTAACAAAACAAAGGCAAGGCTATTAAAAGCATTGATATGGCTGATAGCAACATACAGCTGTAGAAGTTGGATGTTTATGAAGAAGTTAGAGGGAAATCAGAAACATTTCTGATGGTGTGCTACAGAAGGATATTGAATGCTTCCTGTTTTGAAAAAGATCAAACAAATGTGTGCACACTTAGATTTGAGCCAAAACTGAATTGATGCAAATGGTGACAAAGAGGAAATTGAAATACTCTTTATGCAATCTAAGAATAGAAGGAAACAGCCTAGGAAAGGCTATTATTAGAAAGCTGTGTATGAGGAGGTTGAAAAAGGGGTTGACCAAGGAAGAGGTTGCACAAAGACAGAATGCTGGACAGATTTACATATAAAAGCAGTGTGAAGGCTGACATTAGAGCCAAGTGGAGAGCATTTACCCACATTTATCTATTCTGTCACCATAATCTTGATGACAGGGGTGCTTGTTTAATTGGTCAGGGTGGGGAGCAAGAAGACCTTCCCACCTTCTAGCCCAACTACTTAGGACCCTTACTGAGGAAGAGAGAGACCAGGGTCCTAAGCCGCTCTCATCGAGGGGGATTGAATATATGTTTCCTGCTTCCCAGCAGTGTGCTTTAACTGTCAGGCAAAATATTTGGCATTCATAGAATCATAGAAAATTAGGGTTGGAAGGGACCTCAAGAGTTCAACCCCCTGCTTAAAGATCATTTAAAGCTGGATCATTCCAGCTAGGATTTTTGTTGAGTCAGGCCTTAAAAACCTCCAAGGATAGAGGTTCCACCACCTCTCTAGGTAACCCGTTCCAGTACTTCACCCCCCTCCTAGTGAGAGAGTTTTTCCTAATATCCAACTTAAACATCTTTTGCTACAACTTGAGACAATTGCTCCTTGTTCTCTCATCTGCCACCACTGAGAACAGCCTAACTCTATCCTTACCTACCCTTCAGGTATTTAAAGACTGCTATCATATCCCCCCTCAGCCTCTCATAAGACAAGTGCCCCAGCCCCTGAACCATTTTTGTTGCCCTCCACTGGACTCTCTTTAACTTGTCAATTACCCAGCACACGTCTTCCTCATCCAATTGAAGTTGGCTCTCTAGGCAACAAAGAGAAGAAAATACCGTATTTCCCCAAGTCCAAGTCATCTTTGAATTTGAGATGACCTCCTCCCCCCAGTAATTAGATTCCATACATGGAAAATTATAAATACATTTATAATTTTCCAGGTATAGAAGCCCAAATTAGTGGAAGGTTGTCTTTAATTTGACACCCCTCTCCTCTGCTCTCCCACGGCTGTGGCAGAAACAGTGATAGTGGGGCAAGAGGCTGGACCCGCACCCCTTGCTCCCCTGCCCTTTCCCTCCTTGGCTGTCCCTCCCCTTCCCCATACCCAGTGCCCCTTGTGCCTTCCCACTCTTCCATCTCTCTCTGCCACTTGTCTCCCCACCATTGCCTGCCCCTGGCTGCCTATCTCCCTGCCACCTGCCCCTCCCTATGCCTGGCCTGCCCTGCTGCCTGTTCCCTGCCCTTTGCCCCTTTTCCTCATGCCTGTGCCTACTCCCTGCTCTGCAGCCTGCCCCCTGACTTCTTGCCCCCCACGCAAGTATCTGACCCTCTACCCCCTGACCTTAGCCCCCCTGTGTCTGACCCATGCTGCCTGTGCCCCTGTACCTGAATCCACTCCCCATGCTTCCATTTACTTTCTGCTGCATCTCTGCTCCAGTTCTGGACCAATCAGCAGCTATGCTGGCCCCAGCCCAACCTAGCTAGGGAGAAGCAGCTCCCAGCCAGGCCCAGTAAGGTCAGGGCTGGAGGGACCACAGCCACAGCCACAGCAGAAGATAAGGGAGGGTGAGACAGCTGGGGGAGTGAGGCTGCGTGGTCTTCCTTGCACTTCTCCAGGTGTCAGCCCCCTCTTCTGCTGACTGAGTCATAGCTGAACTTGAACCACCACATGCCCTGGCCTGGTACTCCAATCCAAGATAAAGTTTTTTTTTCCTTATGTTGATTGGTGAAAAGAAAAACTTGTCTTGGATTTGAGTAAATATGGTAAGTAGCAACAGGAGGAGAGGAAGCTGGAGGAAGGATGTTTAATATGATGGTTGTTCCCCTGGAATGGAGGGGTCCCTTGGCCCTGATGGGGCAGAAACCATTCTACTACTGTTCTTCCATTTTATTTAGTGAATATTGCACATAAGGTGCAGTAGGCCAGGTTCAAGAGGAATGCTGCAGAGTATTCTGGAGAATGCATAGGAACTGGCTTGATGGTTAGAGCATTTCACGGGGAAGTATCAGGCACAGGTTCAAAATCCCTCTGGTTGACAGTGGGTTTGAAAAATGGTATCCCATTCTCTGAGCAAGCATCCATTAAGGTATTTGGCTAAAACAAGAGAGAGGCCATTTTTCTCTTTTCCTTCCCCCTCACTTTAGGCAAGCATGTGAACAGAATGATCCTATTTCACTACAGGTAGAAACAGAATCCCAAACTGCTTAAATGCCAAAAATTGCATGATTAGGTGCATAGAGGGCAAATGGGTCCAGATCCGTATAAATTAACTGGATATCACTTTGATGCCTGGCTCTAGGAGTGAAATTAATAAAACCAAGTTTGGTCACAAAGTTCCTTACAGCTCAAGGGAAGAAAGTGCTTAACTCACAACAGCCAATCTGCATAGTAATGAGGCATGTATAAACAAGCCAGTAGGAAATGGTGTAAAGGGCATATCTGAAATTCCTTCTCTCTTGTGGTTTTAGTCACTTGTACAAGAATGCAGGATATAGTGGCATCTTAAAGACTTAGAGAGGAATAAGCTTTCTTGGGCAACAGCCTACTCTGTCAGATGCTGTGAATGGACTTACAGAAAGCAGTTCAGAATAGAAGGGAATATAAATACAAAGAGTGGCAGGAGGGGGCATTGCTGAGAGAGCTGAAAGGGTGTGGAATAGGTCAATAGGGAAAAACAAGGCAGTTAACCCACTGAAGGACATAAGGATTATAAAAGCTAGGAAGGTAGGCCAGGGAACGGGTGTGTACCGAAGTGGGTATTGTGTTCAGGTTTTGTTACAACTCTATATGTAAGTGCTTTATCTTTAAGTAGAATGATGTTTCTTCTCAGGATAATTCTGTCTGACATTGCCACTTCATTCTTTTAACATTATTCAATTTTAGGAATTAAAGAGTTATCCCCACCCCCTCTGAATCTGAAACGTCTATACAAAGAAACATTGGAAATTGAGCCTATTTTGATCGTTATTTCTCCTGGTGCTGATCCTTCTCAAGAACTACAGGAACTTGCCAGTGTTGAAAGAAATGCTGAATGCTACCACCAGGTCAGTCTCAGCTAAGTTTTATGAATCATTTTTATGGCAGAAATTACAGGAGTTGTAAATGTTTTTAAATTCTGATTTGAGCTGGTGAAGTCAAATCAGGTGCTTGATCTATGTACCTTTTATTTATGAAATCTGTTATAGTATTTTGGGAATATATATTTATTTTTAGAATCATGGAAAAGTAGGGGTAGGAGGGACCTGAGGCTTCCTAGTTGTAGTCCCTGCTTGAGGTAGGATCATCCATATCTAAGCCATCCTAGACAAGTGATTATCTAATCTGTCCCTAAAAACTTCAGGACCAACCCTTATGCACAATTACAAAGCCCAAAACATCAAAAACACCCTTTAACATGCCATAGGTAGGTAAAGAAGAGGCCAATGGCACTGTCAATGTCCTGCCACTGCAAGGACCAGAACTATTTTTTAATTATTAAATATCCTACTTGTTAAATATTATTTCTTTGATAGCTGCTAATTGTTTCATATCTTAGATCTGCCCAATAGATCAATTAAAAAAGTGTATTTTGAATGATCTCTTAATTTTAAGGGGTACATGACAGACAGCAGCAAAATGTCTGTTTGACCATCCTGAGGGCCTTTCTTGCCCAGGTGAAATATGTCCTTCACACACTGTTTGTTTTATTCTGCAATCATCATAAAAGATGATTGTGTTATCATCAATCCCTCAATTTTAGGATGATCTCTGCTGCAGCTTATTGGTGGGTATTGAGATGACTTAAGAGTTCAATCTTTGCACCACAGATCTGTCCACAGAACTTGCAGGTCTTTCTGTAAGGAAGAGCAGCCTGCAGGTTGGAGTTCCTCTATTTTTCCTTCCTCTGTGTTCTCAACACAGAGATGAGAACAAGATGCTTCTCCTTTAAAGGGGCTGCCACTTGGTTGAGGTTGCAGAGCCATTGGAGTTGTTTATCAGTCAGATCCTCCCAGCTCTTAAGGTCGGCATCCATTTTCTTGAGATACGTCTTCAATGTATCCTTATAGTACTTCCTGTAGTCACTGATAAGTCTCAGTCCATAACTAAGCTGTGAGTAGAGCCAGTTGTCTTGGGAATTAGGACCTGGAACCAACTTCCAAAAGAACTGGTGCTGGCTCCTACCCTGGGGGTCTTTAAAAAAAGGCTGGACGAACATCTGGCCGAGGTTGTTTGTCCCCAGTACTCTTTCCTGCCACGGCAGGGGGGTGGGCTAGATGATCTCCTCAGGTACCCTCCGACCCTACGAACTATGAAACTATGAATTCAGATTCCCAGTTTGAAATCACAGTGGTGATACGTAGGGGGTGCACAGGACTGCTCGTGCACCCCCTGAGAGCACCAGTGCATCCCTTGTCAAGCCATGCTCCCTGTTTAGGCGGCAGGCAGGTGGGAGTGCCAGTGCCCCCCTGCGAGCGCCGGCCAGGGAGCGGGGCCGCCAGCAAAAATGGCTGTGCTGCTTCAGGAAGTGTGCGTGGGACTTCCAGAAGCAGTGCAGCTGCTTTTTGGTGAGTGTGATCGGCTGCAGGGACCCGCTCCCCATTCCCGGTCAGCATGATCGGCCGTGGGGGACAGCCGTCCTGTCAGTGGGATAGGCTGCCCCGGTCAATCAAATCAGCCACCAGGGGACCCCCCCGGTTGCTGACTGGTGTCAGGCAGGGCACATGCCCCTCCTGACTCAAGAGGCACTAGTCGCCCATGGGCACACAAAATGTCCAGCGGATTTAGTGTTGAGGATCGCCAACTCAATGCTCGTAATGTTAGTGTCAGCAAGGATGCTGGGTTTTTTTCGGTGATCTTCCCATTTGATGTGGAGGATTTTCTGGAGACATTGTTGGTTACACCTTTTCAGACTCTTGAGATGATGATGGCCTGTGGCAGGCTGATCGAGCATTTTGGCCCTCCCAATGTTGAGAGAGAGACCCAAAGTTTAGTAGGCTTCTGTGAAGAAATCCAGTGTGATTTAGAGGGTTTCCTCAGTATGCACAAGGATGGCACAGTCATCAGTGTATTGAAGATCTAGGATGTTTTTTTTAAATACTTTGGTCATCAAGTGAAAATGTCCAAGATAGTTAAGCCCTCAATCCGTTCAGTATTCAATGCCAGTTCTGGAAGGAAGGCAGTCCTTAATGAGAATCAGGATGTCTATCAAAAATGGAGTACAGAGTTAGGGCAATGATGGACTTGCCTGATCACAGTTAGGATGACAAATGACTCTATCTCTGATCCATTACAAAGGATGGTAACAGTCATCTGGTTATGGAAAAGCCACAGGAACTTGATGAACTTTTCAGGACATCCAAATCTATCCAGTACTTTCTGCAAGGCTTTGTGATTGAGGGAATCAGAGGCCTTAGTGAGATCAATAAAAGCCACATACATGTCCAGCTGTTGTTCCTGACACTTTTCTTAGATCTGGTAGGCAACAGTAATCATGTCAGTTGTTGCATGGGGTGGTTTGAAACCACACTGAGATTCCAGCAAGACTTCCTCAGGAAGAGGTAGAAAATAGTTTAGGAGAATGCAGGAGAGGATTTTCCCTGCTGCAGAAAGGAGGGCAATACCTCAATAATTCTCACACAGAATTAACATTTCTTAACTTGGGACAGAATAATCCCATGCATCAATACAGGCTGGGGACTGACTGGCTGGGCAGCAGCTCTGCAGAAAAGGACCTGGGAATTACAGTGGACAATAAGCTGAATATGAGCCAGCAGTGTGCCCTTGTTGCCGAGAAGGCTAATGGCATCCTGGGCTACATTGGTAGAAGTGTTGCCAGCAGGTCAAGGAAAGTGATTCTTCTCCTCTATTTGGCACTGGTGAGGCCTCATATGAAGTACTGTGTCTAGTTTTGGGCCCCTAACTACAGAAAGGATGTGGACAAATTGGAGAGGTTCCAGTGGAAGGCAACAAAAAATGGTGAGGGTGCTGGGGGACATGACTTATGAGGAAAGACTGAGGGAACTGGGCTTATTTAGTCTAGAGAAGAGGAGACTGAGAAGAGATTTAGTAGCAGCCTTCAACTACCCGAAGTGGGGTTTGAAAGAGGATGGAGCTAGACTGTTCTCAATGGTGGCAGATGACAGACCGAGGAGCAACAGGCTCAAGTTTGATATTAGGAAAAATTTTCTCACTAGAAGGGTAGCAAAGCGCTGGAATGGATTACCCAAAGAGATGGTAGAATCTTCATCCTTGGAAGTTTAAGACTTGGCTAGACAGAGCTTTATCTGAGATGAAATAGTTGGGGATGGGCCTGCATTTGAGTAGGGTTTTGGACTAGATGACCTCCTGAGGTTCCCTTCCAACCCTAATATTCTATGATTCTGCAATCTGTCACTGTCAAATCAAGGTTCAGGGATGCTTCAAAGTACTCTTTCCATCTAGTTTGGACAGTCTTTGAGGTGTGTTGAACTATCCTAGAACAAGGGTGGGCAAAATGCGGCCCGTGGGCCAGATGTGGCCTGCCAGGCCATTCTATGTGGCCCGTGGGGCCCCTAAAACATTTAGAAAATTAACATTTCTCTGCCCCTGGTTGCCTGGCATGCGGCCCTCGATGGCTTGCCAAAACTCAGTAAGTGGCCCTCCGCCCAAAATAATTGCCCGCCCCTGTCCTAGAATCACAAGAAAGTAGGACTGTGTGAAATTGGGCCATAAGTGGTTTTCATTGCCTGGAAAAATCTGTGCATGCCATGTTTGTCAGCATAGAGCCAGATCTCTTTGGGTTTATCTTGCCACCACTGATTTTTGATTTTCTGGCTCTTCCTTCGAGCATTGGCTTTGAGGAGCTGATACATCTGCCTGCAGGTGTGTCCTAATTAATCTTATTAGCTGGTTGCTGTGGCAACACTGTTGCAGTTGTGCACTGCCTGTACTCCAGGGCCCTCTCTGGGCAGTTGCCCTCTTAAAGTGGCAGAGCGCCTTAGGCTCTGTCACAGTCTTGTATTCATCACTCTGTCTGAAGATGGTGTTTGTGATGACAAGACTGTGCTCCGTGCATTTTCTCATGAAGAGGATGCTTTGGAGTTGGCTTTCCCTCCTCCTTCCTGCCAGAGTTCCAGCTCATGTCCAGGGATTCTGGTTTTCTCTGATTTAAAAAAAAATCCCAACTTTTGGTTTAAAAAAATAACCCCAAATCTACATTTTTCCATGAGTAAAATGAAACACCACCAATATATAGATAGATAGACAGTGGTGTTTCATTTTAATCATGGAAAAATGTGGATTTGGGGTTATTTTTTTAAACCGAAAGTTGGGGATTGTTTTCAAATCAGAGAAAACCAGGATCCTTGTCTAACTCTGGCATTGAAGTCACTGAGGAGAATCATCTTGTCACCCTTGTGAATGGTAGTCAGAACACGGTCAAGGTTGGAATAGAATTGTTCTTTGACCTCATCATTAGCATCAAGAGTTGGGGTGTATGCGCTGGTGACAGTGTGCGGACAGCTGTATCTTGCTCGGCTTTGTCACCGAGATTGGTCATTCCCATCTGTTGAGTGCCAGATTTTAGGGCCAGACAGCTTGACCTCCACTCACCCGTACTCATAAGTCACACCCTCTGACTCGCCCACTACATCTTGGTCTTTCAAGGAAAAAAAGGGGAAGGATCCTCTGCTATTGATATTTGATTCTCATGAGTGTCTTGAGTCACTGGTCCCTGGGGCTCTTCCTCCCCTTACACTCTGTCCATGCGCCAACCAGATCTTATTCGATCATCAAGCTTCTGGTCATCTGATAGAAGGATGATGCAGTTAACAGGTCACTTTGCTAGCCACACTTTGGATGCAGCTCACAGTCCTGACCAGTTGAAAAAAGTCTACTCCGGCTTCAAAAGTCTCTTACCTCGCAATGTCTGGGTCTGTGCCATCCTTGGGTGTCAACCCTCATCATCAATTGTAGGACTGCTACTAACTCCTATTAGTCCATTTTATGGGGCCCACTGGTTAGGCTGTCTGTACCTGAGTTCTGTACTGGAGTGCCCAGGGTCTTTCTCTCTTTTGTCCTTGACTGCTGAGACTTTGTGGAATCAGCACGTGGACCCAGGGCAGCGCACTATTGGCCTGAGCAGTCTCTGTGCTCTCCTGTGCAACTTCCCTGAAGGGCTGATACTGTGCTGCTCTGGGTCCATGCACTGTCGTCCGGTTGGGCACTCCATGTGGGGCTTTCCCCAACACCTCCCCACTCCCTCAGCTCCCAGCCAGCTTCCTGTATGAATGCCTGGTTGGCAGCACGTGGACCCAGAGTCCACGGCATTATCAGCCCTTCAGGGAAGCCGCACACAGTGTGCATTTGCCCTGCCTCCACCCCCTGCACAGATCTGGGGGGTGCAGGTCCCTTCTGACCCCTGGGAGTGCGTGCTGCCACCAGGAACCGGATCCGCTCCCACCCGAGCCTGCAGCAGGCAGGCAGCAGTGGGGGAGCTGGCTCCGTGCTCCTTCTGCTGCAGCAGCCGCTGCCTTCTGTTGGGAGCAGGGAGCTCCAGACCTGGCTCACTGGCCCCATAGCCCTGGGAGCTGGGGTCCCCCCCCAGCAGGGCTGGGGGGCAGGGGCTGTGGGTGGGGGGCAAGGGGCATGAGCAGGACTGTGGGGCTGTGGTGGGGCAAGTGCGGGGCACAAGCAGGGCTGTGGGGGGCCTTTAATTTTAATCGCAGATATTGGGGTTTTTATCAGAGAATTTGCAATTTTTTTATCAGGGAAAACCCTGGTCACAAAATATTTATTAATGCCCACAGGGATCTATAAACTGACTGCCAAGCTAATTTTTTTATGGCAAAGCTCATGCCATGAACACATTCATCCTGGGCTGGTTTCCCCTTCCAGAAGGAAGTATAGCCTCCACCATCTTCCCTCAATCGACCCTCATCTGGTTGTTTTGTCTCAGTTGGATCTGCAGTGTTGTTGTTGTGTTTCACTAGTGCCCTGGAAACAATAGCAGTTTTTTTCTGGTAATTTGTTGTATTGGTTATCCATCAAGGTGCAAATGTTCCATATGGAAAAAAATGATTGTCTTCTTTTGATGCATTTGATCACAGACAGAGCAATCCTGTTGAATATGGTTATCCAACCAGGAACAGATAAAACAGCCTAGGGTTAAGGCACCTTTTCTAGCCCCTGCCCCTCATAGGGTGAGCAAAGGAGTTGGAGAAAGAGTCAGAGTCCTGAATAGGACTGTTCAGTCATGTTAGCAGCTGTCAAATTGCACTTGTGCCAGCCCAAGTACAGAAGAACCATCAGGTTTCCACCACCTGTGTGCAGATTCATGGCTGGAAACTGCCAGATACACTAGTCACATCTCTCTCACCATTGATCAACTGCCACAGGATTTTTGAAGATTGGTGCAGGAGAGTGTGGTATTGTTTCCTGTGCTAGAAGCCTGCACAAGTCTTCATTTAATATGAGGAAGCTAGTGTGTAGAAACACCAACCACATGATTTTGACAGAGAGGAAATCTGGGTCCAGTGGCAAGGGAGAACCCTAGATGATAGGAGACCTCCATCTTGCTGCAGCCTTCTTCCTTCTTTAAAACTGTTGAGATCCTGACATCTTCCTGATCCATTCTTGAGGACTTAGGGTGGGACTGTAGTTTGTCTGGAACCTCCCCTCAGGCCTGTTCACCAGGGGTGAGCTGGACAGAAGTGTGACTCTGGGCAGCATAGCACTGAGGATCATTGGGACACACAAGCCTCTCCACCACTAAATGTTCTTAGTCCACAGAGAAGGATGATTGTTGAGTGACCAAGGAGGTTAGTGATATTTTTTTAGGACCGCTGCCCTCAGTCCATCATTCAGCACAGTAAGCCTGATTCCAGATTGGATCTGAAAAATACACTCTTTGAATTAAATTGAGATGAAACATAAGACTCCACACTTGCCTCTTTGTTGCAAGTTCAGAGACTATTTAATGCTATTTAATACAGCTTTGTACAGGAAAAAGATGCATATTTAAGGAGATGAGAAACACTCACCTTCACAAGACAATTGTGTTGAATTGGCCATTGTTAGGTAGAAGTTAGGTAGACCGAACATAACCTGACACCAATTAACTTTTTTATTGTTTTCCCCTGGAATATTTTCCCTCTGCTGAGGGAATATCCAAGTGCGTGTTTGGAGAGGGAGCAATCCGTAAATCCTCTGACAGGACAGGAACAGGATATGACCAGTTTAATCTCGCTTTTCAGCTGTCCCTGAATTTGTATTCTTTTCTCAAAAGAACACTTTTGATTTTATCCTTAGCCTCAACTTGAAAGATTTGTGTGTCACTGGAATCTATTTCAATTGTTAGTATTTAAGATTGTAGATTTTTCACTCTCCTGTTTCTAGATGCTTCTGTCACTAGCATAGTATGAATGGATGTAAATATCCTTTTCATTTTAGGCTTCCCATATAGATTCTGGAATAATAACTCATAGAGGTTATTTCAGTGATATAGGGCCAGATCCTAAATGAACTCTAAGGTGCCCCTATTTAAGTGCCATAACATTCACATTTTAGGGTTTGTGGTCTGGGAGGGTGTTCCATATTGCCAGAGTTACACACATAGGTTTTGTGTACAATGAATGGGGAGATCTTGATGCTTCCAAAGATTGCAGTTGCTAGTCATTCCACAGGAAGGCACCTGTTGTATTTCTTGTGGGCGACTCCTGTGTACAAAGATCACAGCATAGACAAAGAAAGACCTCGGGGTTGTTCAGTAGTGAAGACTCAGAGAGGTTTATTGTCTGCAAAACACATTGATCACCTTTCCAATAGCTCATACTTGCCTGTGACAATATATTAACATAAACTATATCTCCCATGCCACTACAAAGTTCCAAGTTTCTCAGGTCCTCTTTATACAGATAAACCCACAGGACTAAGTAAAACATGCTCTGTGCATCTACAGTTACAATTAATGCAACATGATAAACTCCAAAGCAATCTGTTCCGGAGTATACTGCTCCCGGGTGCAGTGTCTACACGGGTGCCTGAGAAAGCAGCACTTTGAGCCAGAGCAGAGCAGCCCTGGGCTGGCAGCAGGCTTCCGGGAGGGAAGAGGGGTGTCAGCCTTGGTCTCCAGGTGTTGGTGTTGGGTGGTGGAGAGGCTGGCTGGGGCACAAGAGTGTCGAAACTGCAGAGCTGTGTGGCTGATCCCAGAGCCTGCTGCCAGCCTATGGCTGCTCTGCCCTGGCTCAAAGTGCTGCTGTCCCAGTTACTGTCTGCACGTGCGTTGCAGTACTGTAAATAACTCCACCATAAGATAGTACTGTCCCCTGCTGATGGGGCTCTTAGTCCCAACTTTGCTTCTTATGTAGCCAGGGCTGAGAGCTCCGCAACTGTTGGGGCTCACATTCCTGGCTGTGCCTCACACATAGCCAGACTTGGAGCCCCATGGACTGGGGGTTTCACAACTTCTCCATCTTCCCCTTCCCCCCTGAGCTTGGGGGATCACAGAAACTCTCTCAGGGTTCAGGGTTTTCATGCTGGGCTCAGTGTATCACTGTGGCTGGGAGCCCTGTCAGTGGATCAGTCTCCTGGCTGCAGAAGAGACCCTGCTACATATGCAAACTAACGTTGGATAGCAACCAACTATAAAGTTATTAGACATTTTCAAGGTCGACCTTTTTAGCTTTTTATGGCATGATAATTACTTTGCATGTGTCTCAAGATAATTGCACAATTAACTAGTTAATTACACAATAACTGCAATGTGTAGAGTGGGCCTTGGTGACTCTTTTCTCATTTACACTATTGATCTTCGAAGCAAAGCAGTCATATAATTCTGTTTACTGGTAAATAGTCTGCCTCTTTTGTACGTGTGATGTGACTTTAAGTAATTGTGTTGTTTTCAGCTATTGTGTAAAATATTAAGATATAATAAATAATAAATTCCTGATTCAAGTGTTTCTCTTCGAAGGTTGCCATGGGTCAGGGCCAAGCTGATTTAGCCATTCAGACACTCAAGGAATGCGCACGAAGTGGAGAATGGCTGTGTTTGAAGAACTTGCATCTTGTCGTATCTTGGCTTCCTAAACTGGAAAAGGTAAGGGTAACTGCATGAGAAAGGGCATAACTGTATTGTTTCAGAAATATTCAAGTGACTTCCATGCTAGGTATCCAGAGTTCTGGCAACTGAAAAATACCAAGCAGAAGGTTGGCAAGTTACCTAGTAATGAGTTTGTATATGTGAATTTACTTTTCATTGGCATAAGCTATTTCTTTAACCTTTTAAGTAATTATATCACTCTGTAAATCAGGAGTGTCAAACATATGGCCTATGGGCCAGATCTGGCCTGCAAAACCATTGCATGTGGCCCACTAGTAGTCAAATAGGTTACTGGAAGTTGGGGAGTTTGGCCTGCCACAGAATTTGGGATCCCAGTGGACATGGCCATTGGCAGCAGCCTCTCTGCTTGTTTATTCCCTCTGCCTTGGAATTTTTCTCTTCTGAGATCTGCAGTTGGGTGGAAATTACTCTGGTGTTTTACATCCCCTGTGTCAGGGTTGTATGTACAACATGTGGATACAACTGGACAAAAGGCCCAGAACTTATGTTAATGGACCATATACATGCTATGTAGCATACATTACTGGGGTGGGTAACTGAATGCTTCTTGAATTTAAGTTACTTTACAGGTTAGTAACTTAGACCAGTAAATACATTTACAGACAGATGTATCATTTAAAATGTAACTTATATTGTTCTGCAAAACAAATATTCACTGCAATAAAGCACATATTTGACTCTCACTTTCTCTCTTTTTTTAAATAGGAACTGAATAGTCTTCAACCCAAACCTGACTTCCGCCTTTGGCTAACTGCTGAAGTTCATCCACATTTTACTCCAAATTTACTTCAGTCAAGTTTAAAGATAGCATATGAGGTATAGTGTCTGTGGACAGTTTGTTGCATATATACAAGCATATTTACAAGCAGTACTAATACAAATGGGTGCATCTACACAAGACATTTAACTGTGCATTAGCATAGTTTACTGTGAAGTAAGCATGTGCATCTACACGTGCACATGCTTACTATGCAGTATACCTTCCTAATCCCGAGTAAATTTGCTATCTGCAATGAGATTCTTAATGGCACAATGGTGCTTGTGTAGACACTTGACCAGGAGCAAACTCTGTTTCAACCGTCCATCAGGAGGCAGGAAATAGCCTCCTGCCCCTGGGAGCTGCCTGTTGCCAGGGTAGGCTCTACCACAGGAGCCCGGGCAGGGACTATGCTCCCCTGACCCAGTAGCAGGGAGTTCCAAGCCCCCTGCTCCAAGATTGTAATCAGGGGTGGGGGATGGGAGATCTTTATCTCACAGCCACTGCTCCACCATTGTGATTGGGGAGTGGGGGGCTGGGAGACCCTTATGTCCCAGCACCGGCCTCACTGTCACAGAGCTGGCACTGGGAGCACCCTGCTGGTGGGGGTAGGGGAGCCTGTTCCCCACCCAGCTCCATGAGTGTGGAGCTAGGGAGGAGGGAACAGGCTGGGGAGCTTGTTCCCCACTCAGTTTTGCACTCATGGAGCTGGGCAAAGAACAAATCTATTCTCCTCCAGCTCTGGGCTTGCAGAGCTGAGTGGGGAACAAACTGCCCAGCCTCCACCCGGCATGCAAGGTGGGTGCTAGGAACTGTCCTTGTCAGGCCATCCCTGTGCCCCAATTGGGTAATCAAGGCATGGGGCTTAGAAAGAGCTGCAGGGTGGGACAGGTCCCAGCCCCCTGTCCCAGTCCACTGGCAGGGCAGCTAGAGGTGAGCTAGCTAATAGCTGCCCCACCAGCGGATCGAGGCAGGGGGCTGGGACCTGGCCCTCCAGTACAACTCTTTCAAAGTCTCCTGCTCCTAATAGGGGAGCCAGGGCCAGGAGCTCCTTGCTGGCAGGGCAGGGGAACATTGTCCCTGCTCTAGGCACAGGCAGCCCCCTGGTTCCAGGGGACAGCTGTCTCCTAGCCAGGTGCTCCCTGCCAGTCCCTGACCTATCACCCAAGGGGAGTCTGGAGCTCCCCTTAGTAGTGGTAGTGTTGTGCCCCAGCTCAAGTCTGGGATCGTGCCCGGTATGCAAAGGCTAATAAAGATACCAGGGGTGAAAGTACAAAGAAGGTTTATTGCTAGCAATAAAAGGTGCAAGCGGAATAATTCACATAACAAGCACACCAGATCACTATTTCTAAGCATCTTTTATACAGGAGTTTTCAAGTTTTCACAAGTGGGCTTGTTTGCTGATTGGTTATAAATGAGTGACGCAAGAAGTTCTTTACAGAGCATGTCTCTATACCTGTGTTTTAGCTATGTATCTCATTTACATATATGTGTGTTTCATTAGCGTACTTCTTCCCCACCTAGGGACGTGATTTTTAGTATTTTAATGAGCCCTTTAACCCAGTACTCTGCTTCTTCTTTTGTTTTCAAGCCCCCTTTATCTAGGACTGTCTCCTCCTTATCATTGCAGATGGGCATTTTTCACATAGCATTCTCTTCTGCTTCGTCTTCGAGTAGAGGTTTCTAGGTCACTCCTTACAGTAGTGGCCCTTTGAAGGGCTGCAGGAAACTTGGTGCAAAGAGCAGCAAATCAGTTCCCTAATCCCGTCCTGTCAGATGCCATCCTGAAAGTGTTTATTCCACAGTAGTTTACACCAGAGTAAATTTGGGCCGGATGCAATGCATATGTAGATGCGCGTAATATGACTCACCAATTCAAAAGAAACCATCTAACAAGAGGGAAGTTTATTAAATTGCATCTTATAATAGACAAATGCCTTTTTATTTTGTTGTTTTGTATTTTCAAAACGTTTTCTACTTTGAATGAAATGAAAAATTGCTATTGATTTACCTTAAAGAATCCTTTGTGGTCACTTGTAGCTTATGTAAGGGGATGTGCTGATCCCTGAAATAATCCAGCAGTATATTTTCTCTCATGTGTTTTTTTTTCTCCACCCCTGTGCGACCTTCCCTTCCCCTGTAGCTCTTTCAAAGCCCTCTGCCTTAATCAGGAAGCCAGGGCTGGGTGCCCCTACAGTGGTGGGGGAGCGGGGGACAGTCTCCTGGCCCAGTTCTTCCTGCCAACCCCTGGGCTAGCACCCGGGGCCCATTGCAGGGCCACAGGAAGTGGCAGCAGTTTGCTTCTACGAGTAGCAGATCTGTTCCCACAACTCTGCATGTGTAGACGCCTACCTGGGAGCATTTACTCGTGGGTAATTTATGCAAGTAAAGTGATCCCAGATGAAATGCATCTGTTAGATGTACCCAGTATGCGGATCTTCTGTATATGCTATGCTATGTCTCATAGACTTGATTATCAGGCGATACTGTGAAGCTCCAAAAAGGAGTTCAGACTGTCGATAGAATAGATCCTTTCTGCAAAAGGACCAGTAGAGTTCTTTTTCATTTAAATTCAGCAGGACCAGGAGTTTTCTTCCATTTAACTTTGGCAGCTCTCACATCACAAGGTCCAATGGCTTTGGTTTCCTGCATGTCAAAATGTTAGTTGGAGTTGCTTAGAATTTTTACTTTTGGCATCCACAGATATCATCTCACTAATAAGAGTACCTTAGTTATATGTTAGATCCAAACTCTGTGAGACTCTAGCACCTTTCCTGATTTACGGCCTTAGAGCTGTTGGATCCACCACCACAGAAGTAATCAGAGCCCCTCACAGATGTAATTTATTAATTCTTTTTCTTATCTCTTCATGGAAACCAACCACTTTATGCTAATTAAGAATGTTGAGTGTTCACTTGGCTTGTGTTCATTGTTCATTATCATGGTTGTGATAATCCCATTAATTGTCATCTGGTCAGGAAGTACATATTTTACTTTAAAGGGAAATCATTGATTTGTTAAAAATATCCAGCTGAAAGTATTTGGTATTTTGAAAAGTAGTACTTAAGATTACTGTAAATGAAAGAGATTTATATAAACAACCCCCCCAGGCAAATATGGTATATAAAAAAAAAAAATGAAATTGTGACTTAAATCTCCTTAAAACCTACTTCTTCATTGATGCCTGTCAACCTCTTCATAATAACCGGATAGTTCATTAACTACTAGTTCTTATTGTTGTTATCATAATTATTTCAGTATTACCTTGTATATTCCGTAGTTTGCATCTACCTGTTGTATCTTGTAAACACAATATAGTAGGCTGCTTGCAGATGTTACAAACCCCCCCCAAAAAACCCTTTTCATTCCATCCAGGAAGAGCACACACCAACTGCTGAAACTTCCTTAGCCTGACGAAGGGTTTTTGAACCCGAAAGCTTACTTAATAACTATTCTCCAACCATTTGGGTTGATCTAATAAAAGATATTAAATTCACCCAAGGAACCTTGTCTGCCCCCAAAAACCCCGCACCATACTGAAAGAAGCAGTGCAGTAGTTTGACCCGGCTCGCCCAATGTCTATATAGATTGGGCACTTCAGCAGGGCTTTATGGTGCTTTTGTCTAAAGCCAAATCAATCAGTTATTAGATAAAGTGCCAAAAAAGCCCCACTAAAATGCCTGATATATACAGACGTTGAGCCTTGTAGGGAAGCAGCTGCACGTTGCTGCCCTTATGTGCAACTCGGCTCTGCAAGGAGCAGAGATTCATTCTGGGGGTCTCCTTGCTGCTACTGCCTGCCCCCTACTGCCTCAGCAGGGCAGTGCTGGTCCCTGCTATGCAACCTGGCTCCGCAGGGAGCAGAGATCTGGGGCAGTGCAGGGTGGGCAGTGGTGGGGAGGAGATTCTGGTGTGGATCTTTTCTTCCCTGAGGAACCAGGTCGCACTGCAGTGCAGTGATGGCACCTACCTCGTGACCTGGATCTGCATGGAGCAGAGATACAGGGCTACACAGGGCTGCAGTGGTGGGAAGGAGACCCTGACACTGATCTCTGCTCTCTGTGGAGCCAGGTCTCGTGGCAGGGTAGTGCTGGTCCCTGCCACGCAACCTGGCTCCGCAGGGATCAGGGATCTGCACAGGGCTCTCCTTGCCTGCATGGAGGGCAACGACCCTCCCGCTCCCCCGGATGAACCACCCACAGCCCCGCCCTGCTCCCCGCTGGGGCCCTGCAGCCCCCAGCCCAAAGCCCCTCCTGGGTGGGCTGCAAAACAGATTCGGTGGAGCCAAATCTCCGAAACATTCAGCCGAAACGAAACAGGGCAGTGTTCCGAAACACCAAAACAAATCACTGTCCTCTGAAACGGCCAAATCCAAAACCGAATAGAAACATAGCCATTTCGCACAGCCCTAGCCCCTACCCCATCACTAAAGGAGAGAGGGAGCCTGGGTACACCTGGGTGGCTCCAGCCCCCTGGAGGGACTAATGGTGACAGAGGACCCTTAATAAAATGGTCACTCACCCCAGGTGTGGCTGGCACAATACAGCCAGTGATTGACAGGCCTAGGGTAGAAGAAGTGGGTGAGGTGACCCAAAGACAGGGTTAGTGGCTTTAGAAAACCAGTGCCATGGCTGAGGCCTTAGAAGAGAGGGTTCTGATTGGCCAAGGAGGAAGAGTAAAGTGGCCCAGAGTAAAGTGAGCAAAGGCCAGAGGGCCACAGTCCAGACAAGGATCTAGGACTGAAGTGAAACCCCCACAACCCTCCTGACCTCTAGGATCAGCCTCAAATGATAACATCAAGGTGTAGAGACAACAGGGTGGGATCCTGAAAAACTAAAGGGAGCGAGTAAGGCAGGATCCAGGAAGTCACTAAGGGGCAACCTGCCTATCCAGTGGAGTGTCCCACTACACAAGGCCACTAAGCACATTATAGAAACATAAATAATAATAATTAGTAACATTGAATATAAAATCTGGGGTAAAAAATTGGATGGGCTTGCATTTGAATGCATTTGCTTTTTTTTTCTTTAATAAAGACTTTCATACTTATGGTCTTAAACTTGTCCTTATATTGTGTTTCAGTTTTCTTGTTCCTTTTTTGTTTGTTCGTTTTGTAGTGTTGTATACAAAATGCCCTTGAATGTGTGAACCCTATGGCCTGTTAGGTCATCTAGTGTAGCCACCTTTTTGTTTAATTTTCCAGAAGACTTTTTGAAGATGTGGGGATTAGTTAGCATTCAACATTTAAATAAATTACAACTTTAGCAAAATAACTAACAACAAAACAACAACAACAGCAATAATAATAATAATAAGATGTGCATATTTCATTTTTTTCCATCCAACGCAGGCACCTCCAGGCTTAAAGAAGAATTTAATGCGAACCTATGAATCTTGGACTCCAGAGCAGATTAGCAAAAAGGGAAATTTGTCTCGAGCTCATGCTCTGTTTAGTTTGGCCTGGTTTCATGCTGTATGTCAAGAAAGAAGGAATTACATCCCTCAGGTAGGTAACCTTATTTTCTTCCAGTGTTTTTTCACTAGAATGCTTTTTTTTGTTTCATATCATCTGCTAGGTTTTAAATTTGCTATTTAAAGTAAAACGTACTTTGCATGTGTGTTTGGTGACATTAAGAAACGATAAATGTAGTTACAACTGTGCAGTTGTTTGTTGTTACTAGTATTGAGTTCTTAATTAGTGTGTGTAGCCCTTTTGCAGGATTTGGGCTTGTTAAGCAGACTCCTTGCTGAGTCCCATCAATTGCAATGGGACTGCATGTGGGCTTAGTGCAGGGGTAGGCAATTATTTTGGCTGGAGGGCCACTTAACGAATTTTGGTAAGCTGTTCAGGGTCTCAAGGGTACCCCTGCCCCTTGATGGGTGCCCCTGGTCACCATCTTGAGACCGGAAGTCCCTCCCCTAGCCCCTGACCTTTGCCACAGGAAGTCCCTCCCCTTGCCCCAGAAGTACTCCTTTTGGGAGGGGGTGATTGTCATCTTGAACTGGAAAAAAATCCAACAAATCATATACTAAAAAAATCAAACATATGCTATATCTCATTTTAAGTCCCCAGCTGCACGCGGAGGCAGGATGCAGGGCCAGCCCCACATGGCCCCATAACATGCACTCCTGTGCTCCCACCCAAGTCCTGGTCACAAGTGGCAGCAGCCTGTGGGGCCAGCTCAACCTGGCCCCTTAGCACTTCTACCTGTGTCCCCAGCCACACCTGGTGGGAAGGCATGGGGGCAGTGCCACCCGGCCCCATAGCTGCAGTTCCCACCCAAGTCCCAAGCTGCAAACAGCAGCAGCATGCAAGGTCAGCCCCACCCAGCTCAGTAGCACTTCTGTCCGAGTCCCCAGACTCATGTGGTGGCAGCGTGCAGAGCCAGCCTAACCCATACCCATAGTGCGCAGCTGCTGCAGTGTGTGGGGCTTGCCCAGCTCAGCCTCACAGTGTACAGTTCCCCATGCTCCCAGCCCACTTTCCCCCAGTGGGTGACCCAGCCCCCAGCTTGGTGGTGCCCTTACCTGAATTCCCAGCCTCGTAGGCAGGGAGGCTGGAAACAGCCACGGGGTCACCAAGCAAAAGCCTTTCCCAGGCAGAGCCTTCTTGTCTGTAGTACTTCCTGGCTTGGAGTGGGTTGGGTCAGGCCAGGCTGCGGGGGTGGTGGAAGGGGGCTGGTTGCTTAGCAGAGCTGCACGTCCTGCATGGAGGTGCCAGCTTCCAGAGGAGCAGCAAGTGCCAGGGCTTATAGAGGACTTAGGAAGAGGCGCCAGGGGCCAGGTGAAATTGTCTGGCGGGATGTATTTTGACTGCCCCTGGCTGAGTGGATCTGATACTGATGCAATATTTAAGCTCCTGTGGCAAGAAATGATAGTCCTGTGATAAGAAACAAAATGGCCCGATAACCTTTTATGGGTCACCTGGAAAAAGAATTCCTCAAGAACTGCACCATCAAACCCATGCTATACTTAAGATACATAAATGACATCTTCATCATTTGGACCGAAAACTTGCAATGTCTGATTGATTTCGATCACAAATTCAATAATCATCACCCCTCCATCAGAATACGCCAGCTCCAACGTCTCCCTTTTAGAGACTATGATCAATATCCAGAATGGTAAAATACAAATTAACATATACAAGAAACCCACGACCTCCATACATATCTACACAGAACCAGCAATCACCCTAAACACACTTAGAAAGCTGTAATATACAGTCAAGCCCTCCAATACCACTGAATTGGCACTGAGGAAAATACCCACAATCGTCACCTTGCAAAACTCCGAAGAGCTTTTGCCCAACAAGGACACTCCTCCAGAGAGACAGATCATACTTTGATAAAGCCCCCTGGATATCACACGAAGAACTGCTGCAGTACAAAAAGAAACCCCCCACGAATTGAACACCATTAGTTATGATATGCCATCCTTCCCTGGAACCTATATGGAAAATCCTCAAACAGTTGCAACCCATACTAGAAGAAGACCTAATTCTTAAAGAGCTTTTTCCAGAACCACCCACCCTAGCTTTTAAACAAGCACCACATCTTACTCACCTCATCCCCAAAAACACACTTCCTATGGCTCAAAGCACACCAAATGGATCCAGACCATGCCAAGACAAGAAATGTAAAACCTGCTAACACAGAACCATCACCATTCCTGGACCTTACACCTGCACCTGCAGAAATAGAATTCATCTCATCCAGTGCACTGAATGCCCTGTTGGAAAATATGTAGGATAAACCAAACAGTAATTGCATAGCAGAATGAATGCATACTGAAAATCTATCACACACAAATATCTGATTACCTGTGGCTACACACTTTTCACAAGAAAACCCTCTCCAGTCTCTCAGTTCTAATCCTCAAAGGAAATTTATAAAACACCTTCCGTAGACAAGTGTACAAACTTCACTTCATAAATCTACCAGATACAAAAAATTATGGATTAAATGTAGACATTGGATTTATGGCACATTATAACTTGCTTGCCATCTGATAGCCCCAGGTGATCTCTCTACCTTTTGCCAGCTACATTCTATCACCAGGTCAACATTCCCTCTTCCCCACCACCTACCTCTCACCTATTGTCTCCTACAGCCTCTGATCCTCACTGCCATGCCATTTGCATTTTGACAGACTTGCATTTTGCCTATTGACTTCTATTCCATCCAGGAGAACACAAAACACCCACTCTCACTATGCCTGAAGAAGGGTATTTGTGCCTGTGTGCGCAAAGAACATTTTTTTCCAACTATTTATTTGGTCTAATAAAATATATTACATTTACCCAAAGAACTTTGCCTGTCTGTCATAAGAAAGATGCACTCCCTAAAAGGGACTTAAAGACTAACTGAGAGCTGTAAATTATTAGGGGTGGGATAGATGGCTATTCTGGTCTAGGTAGAGACTTTGGAAAGGAAGGAATACAGCAAAAGCTTTGTTATCTGGCACCCATGGGGAATCGGGGGTGCCAGATAACAAAATATGCTGGTTACCCGAGGGGCCACCTCTCCTGCTGCGTCCAGTGCACAGCTACCCCTCCCCTCGAGTCGCCACCCCTCCCGCTGCGAGGGACAGGGATGGGAGCAGAAGAGAAAGGAGAAAAGAACTGTTATTGTGAGGGCTTGGCAGCACAGGCTCCTTTGCCCTGGGCCGTGGGGGCTCAGCAAAACCAGAAGTGCCACAGTGGGCACTTCCGGTTTCACTTTTACCTTACAAGCCGGCATGCTGGTTAATAGAGCATACCGGCTTGTAAAGTGCTGCATAACGCAGCTTTTACTGTAATTCTAAGAAAGGAGAGGGGAAGTTTACCGTCTCACTAATCTTTGATAAAAAGGAGGATGGAATTATTTACATGATTAATCTTAACTACTGTACTGAAGGTCCCTCAGTAGAACCCCAGTATGCATTTCTTTCTTTCTTTCGCCAACTGGATCCACGGTGAAGAAAGTAGAGGTTTGTGGTATGCGGACTCTTTATAACAAGGAATCTGCCCTGCATTTGACTAATTTTTGAGTCATGACTATTTAAATACGTCGTGCAACTTTAATTTTCCTCTGACTGAGGCAGCAAAGTTTGAGTGTTTAGACCAAGGCCAAAAATGGAAAGCTAAAGGGATTGACCCTAATCTCAATAGTGTTTGGTGGTGCTGCTGCAAAGCCTCAGGGACGCTTGGTTTTAAATAGAGGCAATTTAAAACATTAATTTAAATCATCAAGAGAAAATTCTTGATTTAAATAATCTATTTTAATCAACATTTCCACTTGTACTTAAGTTACTTACAAATATGTGCCGCTGCTATTTGGAGATTATAAGAAGATTCCTTCTGATCCAGAACATGCAGTCCTGCTTCTGAGGGTAGGCTGTTGATGGTGATGGTACTCATCTTTTTTGTAGTGCTGTAATTTGGTGGTTAGAACACATAAGCAGGAAATTGGAAACTTGTGAATTTAGGTCTGTCTTAGCCTTTGGGGATTCATACCCAAACCTCTTTACTTCCTGGAAAAGCATCCTATTTGCTAAATGATAAAATAGTCTGGGTGGGGATTTCTTCCATGTACCTTGTTGAAATGGGCCATTGGATAGCTAAGAAAGCAGGAGCCATGGTGTAAAGATGTGAGAGGAGCATGCCTTGTATCTCAAACTTTCTAACAGTCTTGATCTGAGAATAAATCCCCCATTTGTCGCTGGCCCCCATTAACTGTTGTTTTGAGTTCTATCAGGCAGCTATTATTTTTCCCTTTAATAGATATACCACACCTTTTTGTTTGTATATATTATTGACTATATGTTAGAGAAAAGGGTTCAGAAGACCGAACTTGTCAGTTAAGTAATGGATCACGATGAATAAGAACATGATCAAAGAGCAGTGACATATCCTTATATTGTGTTTTAGTACTCCTGTTCCTTTTTTTTTTGTCCTTTTGTTTTGTTTGGGTCTATTGGGTATCTAGTGTTGGGTCTGTTGCAGTGGTTTCAGCAATTTATTGAGCAAACTCAACAAATCTATGCAATATCCCTGTATTTAATATCTGTGTTTACAGCAAGCCACCAAGGTATTTCATATATCATCATATGTATTACAGAAATTTCCATATAATTTATCAGTATTATGCAGCTTAGTTTTTTCCAGTTTCTGATCTATTTTTGAGTTTAGCGACACTGCAGATATTCTGTCCCAGCAAGTTCCTGGTAGGCCACGTATGTGTGGTGGACATCAATAAAAATCTTACTTATAAATCTGTCTTTTTGGTATGTTTTCTTCCTGGCTCCAAACAGTCTAAGAGTTTGGGGCCATTTTAGCAGAAGTAAAAGCATGATGGGATTTGATTTACTGCTTAATATAAGCATGTAGTGATTGCTTTTTCCATATTTTTTCCTTAGTATAGAGGTTACTTAAAAGGCAGAGGAGAATGATCAACATATGGTGTGGGCAGTGGTTTGAAAACCAGACCTGCTTATCAAAATCCCAAAGGGAACTAAAATTCAAAAGGCCATCAAGAGTAAGGGAGTGAGTCAGTGAACTGTCTAGTAATAGTTGTCAACAAGAAGTGCAATAAGCACCGTTAAGGAGGGCAGAGTTGCATGTTTACATACATACATAATTTTCCAGTAACTTTTCAGATTATCATAGAATTAAAAATATATTTATTTCTATAGTGGGAAATGATGTCAGTTCTACCCAGACAAGCATACACGTGATGAAATCTATTTCATAGAACTAAGTAAATGTCTTGATAGAGATGTTTCTGTCATACTTCCTTTCTGCATTCCTGTTTGTGTATATCTGGACACCGGTTTATAAATGAAATAGTTCTTTTTTTCTTGGTGTTAAACCTTATACATATTGTACAAGCAGTTGTTTTTGTATGCTTTTTCATTTCATTTAATATTTATTGATGCCTGACTAATTAACTTTGTGTTTGTTTTGTTTATTTTATGTCAGGGTTGGACCAAGTTTTATGAATTTTCTTTATCTGATCTCCGTGCAGGGTATGACATTATTGACAGGCTCTTTGATGGTAAGTCACTCCTGCAAGTTAACCAACTCCTTTCTTTATCCCAGCTAATCATTTTCTGTGTTTCCTTAATTTTAAATCTCAATAAAGTTAGCAGAGTGTAGATTGTCTCTAAAAACACACTTATTTTGATGAAATCTGACTGGAGGATGATAGTTCTGGCCATGGACACGCATTCAGTTCCAGCAATTTCCAGAGAATTTGTTGCACTGGAAAATGTGACGAGGTGGGAGAGCTTGCAGGCATTCCAACACTGTGGCTGGAAAGCAAAAAAATCACCTTAAGGCAAGCTATTTAGCCAGAGGCTGATAAGGAACTGCTTCTTTGCTCCCCCACCTGCATGCAGGCCCAGCTGTTGCCCTGGGACCCTGATTAACCCCAGAGTAGGAACCAGGGCTGTCAAACACAGCCTGAAGCCACTTGATAGCTACAAGCCATCCTGGATACCCAGGGTGGTTGGAACTGAGAGAATGCCCCCACTTCGAACCCCCCATCCCATCCCCCTTCCAATCATTTTTCAGGGCTTGACACCCTAGTCCAGCTCCAAGGAAATGTGCCCGGCCATCTCCAGTCTGTGCACAGACCAGGGTCACCTTGGAGCCGTGCACAGGGCAGGAGGCAAATATGCTGCCACTTGAGCCTTCCTCGAGCTTCTGGGTATAGCAGTTGTAGTGAAGATGGCTTTTCCCAGAAGAGATCATTGCAGTGTTTGGAACGTTGATAATGAACAGAAACATCTCGAGTGTAATACTGAATAAAGTAATCCATTCATCCACAATACAAATCACAACATTTGAGCTATTTTGGTAGTTTTTGAAAAGTATGATGGGGAGTAAGAGAAAACATATACTTTATTCAACATTGTAAGCTATACATAAATAAAATGTAACTGTTTGAATTAGCAAGGACATCAATAGAAACAACATTAATTTTATATACCATGTTATGTGATCTTTATGATCACAAAAGATCTTAGCCTCTTATATTTCATCTGAAGATGACATCTCCATTAACAGTGTCTCCTTCTGGTAAGTTGCTGGCTCAATCATCCCAGTTATTTTGTGAGGTCTGATAGGACTGCAGCCTAAAGCTTTATAGTTGTGAAGTACTAAGCAGGATGTTAAAAGGATGCAAATTTATAATGGCTCCCAATCAAATAGTGCTTTTTGCTCTCCAGATGAATGTGGTTGATGAACACATCTACATAGAAAGTTCCTCACAAGTTTTTTAATATGTCTGACTTTCCATTGCATTTAAAACAAGTTAGGTTAGGCTCTTATCATTGGGGAAAAATAACTTTTGTAAATACTAAAAATTAAGCTATTGCGATATTTAATGTTATTTGGGTAAAAGTTAAGAAACAAAATATGTAAGGATCAGTTATTGGATGTCTTTGTATTTCTTTATGCCATGGAAGATTAACTATAATAACAGGGAAATGTTTATATCACAATGCAGAAGGTTAAGGTAAAACTAACATTTTGTATCTTTTAGGTGCCAAAAATTTTCAGTGGGAGTTTGTGCATGGTTTGTTTGAAAATGCCATTTATGGAGGCCGCATAGATAATTACTTTGATATGAGAGTCCTTCGGTCCTATTTGGAACAGCTTTTCAATTCCACCATCATTGGTGGTTTGCATCTCAGGGGCAAGAAGATGACCAGATTCCCATGTTCCATCTCTCTACCCAATTCTTGCAGCATTTTGGTAAGTACGCATGCCATGTCATCAAACATTGAATTTGAATTTTTCTTCTTGTAGTGCTGTCTTAACAACTGAATGTGCTAATTAATGACAGGCTCTTGCAAGGGTCTGAAGTCTACCTGAAATCAGTGGAAACTGAAGGTGTTTGGGTCTAGGCTTGTGACGTACCAAAGGGACCATATCCCAATCAGCCTAATAGATGCCTCCTTTTTAGGCTTCAACAAATTTACAAAATTGGTGTCCCAGTGAAGGGACCCAAATAGAGAGAAATAGAGATCTAGGATCCCTGTGTAGTGAATGAGGAGAATTAGACAAGTGCTGATAATAATTCAGAATGTCTGGGGGCTCAGCAGGGAGGCACCTAGAGCTAGCTAATAGAAAACACTAAGCACAGGTTTATGCCTGAAATCCTGTTCCTCCTCTGAGTTTAAGCACCCAACTAAGCACTGCACAGTAGTGATTAGAGCAGTCACTAGGAAGGGGAAGATCTGAGTTCAAGGCCCTTCTCAGCTTGAGGGGATAGTAACATCCTCTTCCCCAGAGAAATCCCTGAGTTCTCCTCCCCTCTGAAGAAAAAGGGCCACTGTAGAGCCAAGAGTTCAAGAGCTCCATCTTCTTTGGAACCACCCTTCAGGTAGTTGAAGGCTGCTGTCAAATCCCCCCTCAGTCTTTTCTTCTGCAGTCTAAATAAGCCCAGTTCCCTTAGCCTCTCCTCATAAATCTTTTGCCCCGGCGCCCTGACCATTGTCAATGCCCACTGCAGGACTCCTTCCAATTTGCCTGCATCCTTTCTGTGTTGGGGGGCCCCAAACTGGACATGGTACTCTAGATGTAGGCTCACCAGTGCTGAATAATCACTTCGCTTGATCTGCTGGCAATGTTCCTACTAATGCAGCCCAGTCTGCAATTAGCCTTCTTTGCAGCAAGGGCACACTGCTGACTCATATTCAGCTTGTTGTCCACAGTAATGGCTAGGTCCTTTTCTGCAGAGTTGTTGCTTAGCTGGTGAGTCCCCAGCCTGTACCAGTGCATGAGATTGTTCTGTCCTAAGTGCAGAACTTTGCACTTGTCCTTCTTGGACCTTACAAGATTTCTTTTTTCATAGATTTCATAGACATTAGGGCTGGAAAGGACCTCAGAAGATCATCGAGTCCAGCCCCCTGCCCAAAGGGCAGGAAGTCAGCTGGGGTCATAGGATCCCAGGAAGATAAGCATCCAGTTTCATCTTGAAGGTGTTCAATGTAGGCGCTTGAACCACCTCCAATGGCAGGCTGTTCCAGACCTTGGGGGCTCGGACAGTAAAGAAATTCTTCCTTATGTCCAGCCTGAAATGGTCTTGTAGTAGTTTATGACCATTCGACCTAGTCGTCATCCCTTGGGGGCACTCTGGTGAACAAACGTTCCCCCAGATACTGGTGGTCACCCCTGATAAACTTATAGGTGGCCATCAGATCACCCCTGAGGCTGTGCTTTTCCAGGCTAAAGAGCCCCAGGGCTCTCAGCCTGTCATCGTAGG